ATGTCCCTCTATGTTGAAGTAAGCAACAGGAAAAAGAGCTGAATTCAGCTATCTGAATTGAATTGAATTTGAATTTGGTGGGAAGGTAACAGTGCTTTGTGTGCCTTTGACATTTAGTCATGCCAGCTACATGATCATGGAGATGTCTTCAGACAGCGCTGGCTCTTTGGCTTGGAAACAGAGATGAGCACTGCCCCTAGAGCCGAAAACAACTAGCACACATGTGTGGGGGAACCTTTACCTTAATTCAACAGATGAAAATGTTTGTTTTGTTTTAGAGAGATTAGAATGAGAAATGCTGTTAACCAATTCATTCTCCTCCTGCCACTTAATTCAAAACACTCGGAGCTCCTACCTTATAGCAAGTTGTAGCTATGGACCACTTAGAGGTGAAAGTGACAGATGGTGAATTCACCTTAGTTCTTCCCAAAGTCAACTCCAACATCTTGCCAGAATGAACACTCTCCGAAGACTTCTCAGCTCAGAGATCGCAACAAACAGACTGCATTCTCCAATTGCCAAATCTGGCTGTTGTTCATCCAGCTGATTCCAAATAATGAATATCCAGTTCTATAGCCCATAAAGCCAGCAGTCTTAGTTTGCAATCCTGAATAAATAATTATTTTCATGGCAGTCAGAGAATCCACAAAGAGTGTTAGATGGAAGACATCCAGATCTGAACAGAATTGAAGTAAATTTCAGAAATAGCATCATTATATATTTGCTCTCCCAAGCTATTTTCAGAAAGCATATAGATGGATACCTCAAAGAAAAATTGGAAGCATTCAAGCATATGCTGGAATTGAAGGCAACTTAATATATCTCATGGTATATTTTCTTACAATGCCAGATAACCTGAACCTAAAGTCCATGAGTTCAGTGGTTATTATATAATGTGTAAACCAGCATTTTTCAAACTTGGCAACTTTAAGATGTGGTATAAACAGTGTGTTTAGAAGGCCCAAGAATGCAGAACACTGTCACACATATTACTTGGAAGTAAGCACTATTTAATTCAATGGGTATCATTTCTGAATGGCCTTGTATGAGAGTGTGCAATAAAAATTCAATCTTTATATAGTATTTTTAGTGGCCCAGATAAAACAGTCTGGCTTTCTGATTGGAGGAGTCTTTTCTACTAGCTGGGTCAAATGCAATTATGCCTGAAGAAATCTAGCAAGCTCTGATTGAACAAAAATATTTCCAAACTCTTGAAAAGTGGTTGCTGAATACCTTAAAAGAACTGTAATACAAATTATTTGGGTCACCAAAATTTGATTTGATAATAGCGAGCGACAATGTAAGGACACACATGTAACTGATTAGTTCTGTGATTTTGACATTTCTGTGTTTTGTGCTCAGTGACAATTAATCCAATTGCATACATTGATGGATTGAGAGATAGTTTTTAACAAAGCAGCTAATTTGCAACTATCCCCTTTCTCTGCAGCTTTCCATGATTTCTAGGAAGGGGGGAATCCACCTTGTAATTCAATCTGTCATTTATTTCTCTCTTCTGATTTTACTGTCTTCTAGGCAATCCCTCCCCCCCCCCACAACCAATGAAGAATTCATCAACTTGATCTCAGCCAGAAAAATGAGAAAGACAACTTTGCAAACCAGCTAGTGAGGAGAGGTGACAGCAATTTAGTATATTATGGACTATAGATGCTTTCAAGAAATGAAAGAGAGGATGTCACCAAGGCTTTCCACTCTGGACTATAAAAAGCTTCATGGCAGCCAAGAGTTAGATGTTTCCGTTTTTGCTGCCATCTGTGGTCACCTGCAGGCCAGATGTGGTCACCCATAATGCCATTCAAGGAGGTCTGCAGCATCTGAAGCAGAGAAAGGTAGAAGACAAATTAGGTAGGACTGGAGCGAGGCTTGCTCTTTTTATATTGGAAGCAAAACTTATCCTTAATCTTGGTTGTCCTGAAGGTTCTTTTTCAAGAGGCAACTGGACTTTCTGGGTTTTTTTTAAAAAAGAGGTTTGTTTCGCTTCTCATCCAAGAAGCTTCTTGAGCTCAGCTCAGAAGTTTATAGCTTCTTGGTTGAGATGTGAAATGTCTTCTGTAGGAAGTTATCGCCCAGCCCTCTCCGAGAAAAATGAAATATCCTAGGAAATATTGAAAAGGCAGAATATTTCTCTGGATGTG